CCATATTTTATATAAAAATATATATTTTATATGCAAATGAACGATTTAAATTTTTATTAATTGAGAACAAAACAAAAGACTTTCTAATGCCTGTGCCAGCTCCAGCTCAGCTAAACTTGTTCACTTCAGAATTTTCTCTGACTACGGGGTCTGAGAGGACATCCATTTCTGGGAGGGGCCTTACTGAGTTGTTTGTTTAAAGTCATCATTTATTAAGCACCTATGTGTGAGCTGCTTTATATACATAGTCTTACTCATAGCAGTACCTTCTGCCATGGGTATTGCTGTTATTTCCAATTATGGATGAGGAAACCAAGCAGAAGACATAAAGTAATTTGCTCAATTCACAGTTACCGAGTGGCAGAGCAGAGATTCAAACTTGCATCCCTCTGACCTCAGGGCCTGCAAAGATCCTGGAGTGGGCATGCTTATATGAAGGGATGTCTGTGAGTATGCAAAAGGTGGCAGTGGTATGATGGGAAAAGAGCAGGAAATCAGGAGCCGGAAGCCTGGTTCCACCACTAACTCACTTTATTCATGTATTCCATCAATTATTCATGCAACAGATATTTATTGAGCACTTACTGTGTGCTATGCACTATTGTAAGAGCTGGGGAATGAGGCAGTGAACAAAACATACAAACTCCCTGCCTCAGGGAGTTTGTATTATTGTGGGGTGTGAGAGACAATAAACAAAATAAATTCCTTTTCTTTCTGTATTTTGTAAGGGAGTCTCGCAAGATGTCTATAGAGGATGGTATAGTGTAGCAGGTAGAGCCGGGGCTTTGACATCAGGATTCTTGGGTTTGAGTCCTAGCTCTGCACATTCCTGGCTGTGTGACTCTGGGAAATTTACTCAATCTCTCTGAGATTCCATTTCTTCAATTGTAAAATGGGGCTAGTAATCCCTATCAACCTAGGTTGTTAGGATGAATACCTGAGATAACATGTGTAAAGCCTAAAGTAATAGAATGCAGTTGACAGGAAATCTTTATTATTGATGCTGTGCCTCTCTGGCTACCCTGAGTCTTACACTCTGTCATTCCCTGAAGAAACACTGGGGCTCTGAGTCACAGATGATGGAGGCTGCTTCCAAGGAACCCATTTATTTATTCCGCCATGTTCAGCCATCTGACAGGACCCCCTCTATATACTTCTAGTACTGGTGGTCATTTCCACTTAAAAGAGACCATCGTGTCTCCTAATTGCCTGAAACCACCCGTGGACTCTTTCTGTTCACACGAACAAGAGACACAGGTAAGAGGGGAGCTGGGTTTAGGAGAGAGCGGAGCCCTGAGGAGCTGTGTGCAGCTACAGGCTTAATCTCAATGAACAAAAGCCTCCTGGGAAACCGGCGTGCTGGGCAGCACCGGGGCCCATTTGTGCGCGGGCTGTGGGTTGCCATGGCTTTGTTAGCTGTCCTCAGGAGAGACTGGCAGGAAGACTTATTTGTTTTTCCTGGAGGCCAGCCCTGTCAGGCAGCCTTCACTTTATAACCTGGCCTACATCTAACGGTGGTGTTCAGAGCAGGACCAGGTCCACAGAGGCTGGGAAGGTTGGATTTGATCAGAATGTTTCTTCATCCTTAACACTGCTGCCCCCAGACTCGTGAACTACATCCCCGGAAACCCCTCAAAACATACACACACACACCCCTGCCTCTTTATACTTAGTCCCTTCATGCACTTTTCACAGTTCGTATACTCAACTGCCATTTGACTAATGCCATCTTCTTGTGGTTGATGGGGATGCCGGGCAGAGCAGGGCTCTGCCCACTCCTGCTCCCCATTTCATCCCCACGCTGTGGGTCTCTTATAATTAGGTTGCCAGTTTTAGCAGATACAAGTACAAGATGCACATTAAATTAAAAATTCAAATAATGAGTGGTTTCCAGTTAAGATACATCCGTGTGATACTTGGGACATATACTAAAAATTATTGGTTATTTACCTGAAATTCAAATCTAACTGTGCATCCCGTATTTTATCTGGCAACCCTAATTATAACTTGTCTGGGATGATCAGTAAATATATACATGAATAAAGAAATAGACAAAGTGTTACATGATCAAAAGCAGAAAACCAAATGCAGACACTTTACTAGAAAGTACACACCAACATGTTAGGAGTGATTTTTTTTCAAGGTGATAGGATTATTAGAGAATTTTCATTTTTCTTTGTAATTTTCTGTTTTTCAAATTGACTGCAATGAGCACAAAAGTTTTCAAATGTCATATATGTGTGTGTAATATATACATGTATATATTCATATATATGTGTGTATATATACATGTATATATATACACACATATATATTAGGTTGTCGGAAAAGTCATGACATATTTTTTCTATGTTTTTCATTGCAAAAATGCGTCATGACTTTTCCAACAAACCAGTATGTATACATAGACACACACTAACTTCTTTAAAAAAAAACTGCATAAAAGAGAAACAATTTGTGTTTTCCCTCACCCTGAAAACCAGAATTTTATGAACACATCCCCTGAGGTTAGGGACATTTTGAGCATCCATGAAAAGATTATTGAAAGCAATATTGCGAGGCCTACATAGCAAATCAGAAAATCAGTAGAGTATACGAAGGGGTCCAAAGGAGTTAAAAAGTATTGCTATTTTATTAATCATGCAGTGCATAAGAAAATTGGCTCCTGAAGTTTAGGGGATGTAAAGATAAGTCTAGTTAAACCCAAGACACACATCTTGATTAAACTGAACATAATACACTAGGGAATCTTTGATTTTTTTTCTTTGATTTGCAGAATGTGGGTGGAAAACAAAACAAACATAAGCTCTTACATGGAATAAGTAGAAGACCCCTCCCCCTTCCCACCGTACACAACTTCCCATCATGCATTGAGGCCAAGCACCATTCAAAGTTGTCTTTTGGATGTTCAGACTGGCCCATCAGTGATGGATGCATTCAGAACGCTACACCTTAATAAAGCAAGAAAGGAAAAGAACTACCATCTGTAAGATGCTTAACATGTGCTGGGCACTGAGCATAGAGCTTTGTCTTACTTCATTCATAAATCAACCCAAGTTCCATGCATTAACCTTATCTTAGAACGATATGACTTAAAAACAATAGATTGCTCACAATCACACCTCGAGAAGCAGCATCGCAAGGTTGCTTGATAGTTGTGGAAAGTCAGGCTGTACTTACTAAGGCCTAAAGCATTTATTAGAAGGAATTAATATGCTTTCTGAAGATCTTTAGCTCAGGGTTTGAAAGACAAAAGGGTTTTCCGGAATGCCCCACTCCCAGTTTTCAGTTCTGAATGCCCCGCTAGAATCATGGGGAGGAGGTTGTGTCTTCCCTCCTCTGTCAATAATAGTGGTGCGCAACGTTCTGTTGTGAGATTCAGTGTAAGGGAAGGACAGCGTGTATATATATATATATATATATATATATATATATATATATATATATACACACACACACATATATATATATATACATACACACACATATATACATATATACACACATATATACATGTATATATGTATAGATATACATATATATATGTGCATGTGTACATATATATACATATATGTGTATATATATGTGTGTACACATATATATATACAAATATATATATATATATATATACATATATATATGGACTAGAATGAAGTCAGCTTTGCCTTCTGAGTCATGAGAAACAAGCATGGAAGGGTAAAATGCTAAGTATGTTCTTATGAAGGGTGTTCCTGGTCTTCAAGAGAGAAAATGAGCTGGTTGAACTTTTAAAGAAGAAAAATGTGACTTTGAACAAAAAGGCTGTGAAATGAGAGCGCTTCCTCATTCTCGGGGTGGAAAGACAGGGGGGAAAAGATGCAATTTGGTGATTGCTATGGATGGGGAAAAAAGAGCTGCATCCATTTAACTCTTTACCTGGCTGCATTTTCAATAGCCACTCTAAAATACTGATTAAATACACTGAGCCTGAGCCAAAATTAGACTCCACCATATCTGAGTAGTGCATAACCTGTAATAGACCTATTTCCAAGTCACCCAGAGCCATCTTCTTTTCAGCTGTGGTGTAGAGTGTGGGAGCAAATTGTATATGAAGTGAACTGTGTTAATTAAAGATGGAGGGAGACAGGTTTAATGCACTAATTCCCCCAGAGGAATGTCCCTAAATACACAGTGACATTTCAATTATTTTTCCACCAGTAGTCTCTAATAAAGACTTTTTTTTTCCTTTGCTAGTAAGTAAGCACTGCTTGGTATGCATATTTAAATAGCAGTCATACTGAATTAGCTTTAAGAATTGGCTCTTAACATAATGGCTGCATTAAAATGTAGAGCCAAATGAGCAAGCCACAGAAAGACCTCCACAGCACAAGAAAAGAGCAGGAAATAATAGATAATGTAAGCGTCTTCACCGTTTGCTAAGCCTTGGACTGTGATAATGGCTTTGAGAGCAGATTACTAAATTAGCCCCAGCTCTGTGAAAAACCTATCTGCTGAGAAAGGCAGCACCTATCCTGTTCCAACTCACAGGTACATAGTTGGCTGCTTAAGAAGCAGGCCGCAAGGGAACCAGTTCTATTGCTAGTAATTTTAAGGACACAGTGCTTTGTACAAGTTCTGAAGATCAGATACCTTACGTTGGCCAGTGATGCCATGCTTTTGTACCCAAAGTCCCTGCCCCATGATTAATGGGGGGAAATTATCTGAATGAGAAGACATCTGACTCATTCTTCAGCATATTTAATTACAATGATTTAAAAAAAAATTGACCTCAAGGAAAAGAGGAACTGTGACACCTGAACCAAGGAGTAGTTATGGGTGACAATGAAACAACAATTTTGTTTCATTATCAAGTCAAACAAACCAAGGAGAACCCAAGTCCTTGAGGGAGATCCTGAGGAGGACTTTGCAAATGCACATGAGACATCAAGGTGTGTCTGTGTAACAGTACAGGGGGTGAAGGTGGGTGTGTCTCCCTTCAGAGGTCCTACGAAACCACTTACCACAGGTTAACCAGGAAAGGGTGCTCCAGGCCCTGCATGATCTGGAGTTCCTTGAAGACGTTTCTCACTTCATTGCGCTCCACGCACTTCTGTTTGTTCATGTATTTCATGGCGTACATCTTCTTGGTATCATTCTTCTGCACGATGCAGACCTAATGGTGCAAACCAGAGTGAGAAAGTGACTAGGGAGATGAGAGATCACCTTGAAGACAGACAGAACAAGACTCGTTTTTAGTGTGGCTTGGAGGCCTTGTCACTTACAAATTCTCGCTAAAGTTGCTCCTGAGCTCTGCTTTCAGAGTAAAAAACTTCATTTTCTTCCCCTGCACCAGGTTGATTCCTAAATTGCTGCTTTCTGAAACAAGTTTGCCTATTTTTTGCTTTGGGGTTTTGTTTTGTTTTGTTTTTAGACAGTATTTTGGAGGAAATAGCTGCCTCCTTGTCAGGAATCTTCCCATAGCAGATGACACCCTTATTCTGCTTTGAGTGACCGAAATGAATGGGCATGGCTCAACTGTCAGGTTGAACAGTGTTGTGCAAAGAATTTCTGTGTACAACCATAGGTGATGTAACCAAAAGGACTTTCAGCGCTGGGAAGACACTAAACACAATGTCCAGATTTTTGAAATAATTTTAGGGGTTCATATAGTGCCTCATAAAGTAGATGGTGGATCATTTTAAAGTGCAAGTTGAATAGGAAATGTTCTCTCTTAAAGGATGTCTCCACCAAGAATCAGGATTTAAATCTAGAAGGTTCTTACAAAAAAAATTAGACTGGATATGTATTATATATTTTTCATGGTAGGTTTTTTTTGAAATAAAAATGTGGTACAACTGGGGGGTAAAACAGAAAGCAGGTGGCTCCTTTCCCATGTGAAAAGATTTAAGTCTTATTGGACAAGATAAGTGTTACTGAAGGTACTGGTACAATTTGAAAATGATTCTAAAATGTTACTCTCACCTTTAGAGGAGAGAGAAAGTCTTAAACTCCAGTGAGAATAAATGGATTTGACTTTGAGATCACTCTGAGAACAGGATATGTTCACTATGTACCTGCCTGTTGCATGCTTTCCTCAAACTGTGGTGACAATTTTATAAAGCTCCATTATAAAAACATGCCTGAATTATCATTCTTTGTGGTCCCAGTAACTCAATAATCTGAACATTCTTGGACTCTCTGTTCCCTGAGCTATGTAACCCTGCTGGTCGTTCGTCGTTTTGATTCTCACCTTCCCAAAACTGCCTTTCCCAATGGCTCGCAAAATTTCGAAGTGGTCAAAGTTGACTGTAAGACAAACAGAAAAAAAGTACAATTGTGAGTGATTATGAATTGTTCTTTAGTAGATAATCAATAATAAAGATTGGGCTAAATCGAAGTATCTTGCTTAAAGCAATATTCCAGTTGGATATTGCTTGGAGTGGCACATTGGTTAGGAGTTGGCTTGGGACACCAGCTCTGAGCAGCAGGGCCTTGGTTTGGATCCCACATGAGGGCCAGTGACACTGCGCCCTCTACAGCTAAGATGGTGAACAACAGCTCAACCTGGAGCTGGGCTGCCATGAGTCACCAGCGAAGGCATGGGCTGCAGCGGGGCTGGTCGGCAGTGGGTGTGAGTTTTCGTGAGCTGCCATGAGCCGCCGTGAATGGCCGTCCAATGGCTTCCTCACCTGGGAAGAGCGCAATGATAATACCAACTTGGGCTAGTGAAGCAACGTCCTTCACAACTAGACTGAAGAACAAAAGGACAGCAACTTGTCTGTTCCCTTTCCCCGATTCTCCAATGCTGTTCCCCTCCCCCAATTCCCCAATAAAATCTTTAAAAAAAAAAGGAATATTCCAGACTACCTTAAAATGCCCATTCATTAACCCAATAAATATTTCTTGAACACGTATTATGCATTAATCACAGTATTTAATACTGGGGGATAGAGTAATAATAGAGTAGAAATCAAATCTCTATCTTTATGGAGCTTGTAGTCTAGTGAGGGCTCCATACAGAGAGAGACCCTTATGGATTAAACAGTCATAAAATCAGTGGACAAATGCAACTGCTGTATGTTAAGAAAGAGACATAGTGAGGCTCTAAGCGTATGAGCAGGGGATTTCACACAGGTGGCAAGGTCAGGAGGAGCATCTCGGAACACAAACAATTACCGAGAGATCTGGTTGTCTTTGCATGTGGCTCTACTCAGGGATCTGTCCTTTAAATATCTTCTTGCCAATTTTTCCCCCCGATGACCACTCTTTTGTATCTAAATGATTTCAATTATCCCAAGTAGGAAACTGTTACACTCATAAGTTTATGGAATGAGCTGATCCCCAACGCACAAGTATCTAAGAGATGAGCATGAACAGGTGTACAGAGGTCCACTAAGTGGTGCTTTGAAGTTGAGGTGATCTTTCCCATCGGCCATTTAAAAATGTCTGCTCCTAGAAGTCAGAAGCAGTGGATATTTATTAATAGTTTCTAGGTGGCATGGTCTCTTGGGTCAGTGCTCATGAAATGCTTGGTGACGAGAATAACAAAGTATAGATTTTCCCAGACAGATGACAATCTTTGGTGTCTTGCCTTGATGATCTTGAGAAAATGTTTTACTTTGTTTCCTGGTTTTTGAAATAAGAATTTAGATGAGTAAAATTCCAAGTGAAGGATTTTTAAGAGTTTATTCAGAAAATGTTGTGAAACACTACAAGGCACCATTCTTCTCTTTAAAATAAGTATTTTTTCTCCTTTTTCAAGAATAATTAGATTAGCTCCTTCTGAAGGAAAGGGCGATGAGTAAAGGGATCTCTTCAGGTCTTTCCAGGCTTTCTGAGAATTGAAACATTTTTATAATATGACTTAATTGTCACCTCCTCTTCTGAACTCCCCATCACTTTATTTCTAGCACAAAACCCATTTAATCATGTGAGACAACATGTATATCACAAATAACCCTGGATTTAGACTCAAAATAGTGATGTGGCTTGTGATAAGTGACAGAGCGTCTCCATTTTCTCATCTGTAAAAACGGGACTGACCCTTCTAGATAATAAGAGAACACCTCTTACTCAGAAAGTGCTAATAAAGCTGCTTTCTAACTTAAATCATTCACTTGAATAGCTATGTTTTCTTCCGGCACTCCTCAAGTGCCAAGTTTCTTTCATCCATTAGATCATAAGCTCTATCAGGGCAGAGATGATATGTCATTTTGCTCATCTTGGTTTCCTTGGCAACTCAGAAAATTCCTGGCTTCAGGTAGTTGGAAGGCATGACTCTTTGTACTTCTCATAGAACCTAGCAGAGTGATTTACATGTGGTTGGCTCTTAGCAAATAAATCAACCTAAGCTGCAAGCACACACAAGAACCCCCAAACAATGGCATCTTATAAGTAGTGAGAGCATTTGGGTCTTCTGAGGGAATGTTTTTTGAACTGAGTCAAAGTCCGTTAATGAGTTATGAAATAAATTAGTGGTAATGAGAAGCATAAGAAATTTAAACGGAACAGGTTAGAAAATATCAGAAACACCTCAAATGTAAGAATAATATTGCCGCTGAAACTTTTTTTTGTTTTTATATATGTGTACATATACTGGATCATGATATAATTTTTTGGGTATATTTCTTACTATAGTTTGTGGTCAAAGTAACTTAAAAACACTTCTTTAAGTTCTCCTGAGTTTCAAACAGACATAACTAAAGCATTGATTTTCTCACTCATTGCATGAGACTGAGTTATATACTATGTACCATGAAAGCGTTAAAAGAAAAAGATGACCAGGATTTATTTACAAGTATAAGATTTTATCTTGAGCCAGTCCAATAACTCACTGGGATTTCTCCATTAGCAACCTAGCCCTTGAAGGCTGTGATGACATTTTGACTCTCTTAGAAAGCATAATGTCCCATTGTGATAGGAATCCGTTTCATGAGCAATGTCTCTCTATAAGCCATTTTATGCTTTGATAAAAATGGTAAAAGATTAGATACCAGGTTTTTGATAAATTTCTACTAGCTGAACTGCCTTAATTAATGTCAGGCCAGATCCCAGAAAGTGACAGGCCTAAAATTTTAGAGATAATGCATCTTACTGATGCCTTTCTTTCTAGTCAAGAGTAGACTCCAGCCCAATACTGTAGTGCCTGAAGTCACTTCTATGGACAAGTCTACACCCTGTGACCAAAGCCAATGACAGATGGAAAGTGACTGGAAGCAAAGCTCTTATTCCATCTGCACAGATCCTTCTTCAAGGTCCAACAGCAGCATCAGTACTCAGAAGGCTGATTGAAAATGCAACCAAACCTCTTCAATTCTGACAAAATGAGAGAGAGAGAGGAAGTAAAAAATGTGGGTTACTTTGTCAACAGAAATCCAATAGTATTCTAGGCATGTAGGATTTACCGAAGGGGAATGTGGATTAGCACACCCATGGTGTACTTAAAACCTTTGATCAACATGTTCAGTATTAGCCAACAAATTATATACGGCCCATGGCCAGAGTGGGCCTGCAGCTTGTTTTTATACCGCCTATGAACTAAGATTGGCTTTTACATTTTTAAAGGGTTGCAAAAAACAACAATAATAATAAAGAATATGTAACCAAGACCATATAAGAGCCAAAATATTTACTAGCTGGCCCTTCACAGAAAACTTGCCAATCCCTGGGATTAAGAGCACCGTCTCTGGAGGCAGACTCCCTGAGTTCGAATCCCTGCTCCTGCAGTTAACACTTGTGTAATCTTGGCTGTTTACTTCTATGCTCTGTTTCTTCATCTATAAAATGGGGATGAAAATAATATATACCTCATAGTGTTTATAGGAAGGTGAAATGAGTTAACATATGTAAAGTACTTAGAATATGAACTGGAACTAACTGCTTTTACTAGCACTCCTACTCCCACTCAGGGAGCAGCGTAACTCAGAGCTCTCCACAAATAGTACCTTAAGCAGCTTTCACCGTACGTGGGTATTATCAGGCAACATGGAGGTAAATGGAGGCCCTCAATGTCATTTCTACATTCTTGGGGTTTTTGTAGTTTATGGTATGGAGTTCTTGGAGCGTCTCCTCCAGTCTCTGAACCAAAGTTAACCTTTGTGTGTGTTTCCTTCTTGTGTCTTATCCTTGTATTGCATTCTAAAACTTCTCTTCTGGTTCATGGAGAGGCTCTTGTCCCAAGAGACAGAAAGGCCCCCTGGAGATGCTGTGAGTCCCTGGGTCTTGGTGGGGCCTTGAAGATAGCAGTGGAGAGTGAGGAGGGGCAGAGCCTGATTCTCACTCACACTGCCAGAGCTGGGCCAGGTATGTGGTCTGCAGAAGAACCGTCAGGCAGAAAAGGTGCAGCCTTAATACCTTCCTTATCTGCTTCAAGCCTTGCTTTCACACAGGTGTTCTCCTCCCATTCTTAGCAACCATCATATCAGTACAATATCCTTAACATTGCCTGGAGGTGTATCAGGTTAACAGATGAAATTAGATGGGTCTTAATGTTATATCACCTCAATGTTTTAAACACTAAATGTCTTAAAAGAACTTAGAGTTTTTCTTTCTTTTTTCTTTTTTTTTGGTGGGGGTGGGGGTGTAGGTACAAATTCTCCACTAATCAACTAGACACAGAAATTCCATATGCACAGGGGATCTGCTTATGTAGGGGTTCCTATGCATTTTATTTTTATGTCTCACTTTGTATTCACAAAAACCTTATGGCCTATATAAATAGGGGGCTTTGGCTCAGAGAGATTAAATAACTTGCCATGGTTATAAACTAGTATAGCAACTAATTTATACTTGGGGGTTAAGTTCTAAAGACAGAAAGTCAAAACTATATATGAAAATACTCTAGAAGGTACCCCTTTGAAACCGAAGAATCTTTCAAAAATTCCAATATGATTTTGTTTCTCTTGTGTGAGCCCCAAATGAGGCTCATGCATTGTTTTTAGGATCTATTGTATGGGAAAAAAAATTTTTTAACACTAAAATCACACCCAGCTCATTGGCAGGTTCAAATTTTTAGAGTCACGTGGGACATAAGACCAATAAGGGGACAGCTACCTGTAGTCGCAAAGCCACCCCCAACGCTTGAGTGGAAAAATGGGCAGAATCAATCCACCAGTGTCGGCTCAGTTGTACTCATGTAAATTCAATAAACACCTTTCTGATTCTGGACCCAAGTTCTCCACCACTATTTTTATAGTCATCTTAATGTGATCCTTATTGTGTATCTGCCCAAGGTGTGATCTCTTTATCTCTCCTTTTAGAATCACATGAGTCAAGCCGGGTTTCTTCTGAGTCTTTCTCTAACATAA